AAGCTCCATTTCCCCGCCGGCTACCTTCTCTGGCCAATTAATACCCTTTTTAGGCCGATTTCTACGATTTATTCACCCCGCAAAAGAAGTCTGGTGGAGACCACCTTTAAACACTGCTACTTGTATGTACCGTGTACTCTACGCACAGGTAAACATAGACGATGACCTTTCACCCCTTCACAGGTAGAACTTCCGGTAGTGTTCGGCGTGCATGCTTGCGATAATTGTCGTTACTGAGAAATTGCCGGTGTGGTTGGGTTGGGGAGCTATACTACAAACAGAGACACGTGGTGCGACTAGCCTCTACCAGGCTTCGGGAGGCGGCTGTAAAGAGTAGACATCGACCAAACAGAGAGAGATAACATGCCGTGGAATTGGTCCGGTAGAGAGTGCGGTAGATTGTACTCTCTAGCAGACCAACTTCCGCGGAATGTTATCTCGCTCTATTTGGCCGATTTCTACTCTTTCCAGCCGTGTCCCGAAGCCTGGTAGAGGCTACAGTGTGATGCCAGGGGACACACACTGTGCGCTCAGACACACCAGCTAAGGCACACGCGCCGGTAGGGTAACAACCGACGGAGGTAAAAGCAGAGGTAAGTAAAGTACAGTTCTGAATCATAACTTATCCATGTTTTTAATGCACGTAATGTAATGTATTATGCACGGTATCATTAATATTTAGTAGTATCTGGGAAGGTAACTTGTAAATACACCTGTTTTGCCCTCCACTCGACTTGTATGCATGCTGTACCTGTGGTACATATGAAAATGGCATAGCTAGAAATATCTCGCGAAACAAAATTAACAACGCTGTAGACCGAGACCATGGTTTTAGAATAGAATAAAACCAGCTTTGAGGTGAGTTTTTAACCGAACCATGAAGTTGAAATAGCTTAATCTTGTTTAAAATTTGTACGTTTTAATGTTTTTATAAAGCGTCTACTATTTGCTTTTCTTTCAATAATTTGCATTTGATGTTCACTTCGTGATGAAAATCTTTTGAAAAAAAGCACAATATTTTCTTCGGTCTGCATGGCCGATGATACTAGTCACTACTCTACTTATAATTAGGGTGGGTGGGACGGACACAGTTAGGCTCACGTTGAATAAAAGAAGCACCTGGCTATAGCTATTAGAAGGATATAACTAAAGTGGCCCTAGTGCTGTATTATGAAATTTTGCATTTCAGGATTACAGTCATTATTTTAGTCTGTTATTTTAGTTTCTCCTGACGATTTTATGGTGTTTGGATGATCTGAACAAACATTTAATTTGCGGTTGCAAAAGACTGTTTTTGTCTCTAAATGTCTTTTACGTCGAAAAAGGTTAGACATCCAGGCAATGAGATACACACAAAAAACTGTTACCAAAACAACTGGATAGATTTTGGAAACTGCCAGACGTTTTATTTATGTGATACAACCGGCATATAGCCTGGTACCTTCCTACGGGGGTACGGATCGTAGTCTAGAATTCGGCAAAAAAAAGGAAAGAATTCCCGGGAAGGTTTCTTTCCCCCTCCGAAGGGCAAATGGACTCTAAGGTGGCTAAACTCCCCCTGGCCAATTTTTCTCCCCATTTGGCTAAATTTTACCGTTTTAACCAGCGTAGTTTGTCTGGTAGAGACTTATACAGGGTAGCCTAATCTCCAAGCAGATCATACGGTGGCAAGGCAGTATCCATTGTCCTTTAGCCACCGAAGGGTGGCCAATGGATACTGTCTGGCAAATGGATAATGCCTGGTCAATTTGATACTGTCTTTTGAGGCCACAGAAACATCTGCTTGGAGATTAAGGGTGGCTCGCAGTGAGTCTGTTTACGAGGCTAGCGTTCCGGTGAACAATACTAGCGTGACGTCACCTCACCTGAACTGAGCGCCTCTTTCCAAGAAGCCGAGCGCCAAAAATGGGTTGTGGGACAAACCAAACTGCCCCCGGGGGTAGTCTCAACGCTGAGGTTTGGGTTTTGGCTTATTTTTGGCGTGTTTTTAGGCTTTTTTGCCGGGCTTTCTTTTTGCACTGTTTTTTTTTACGCCAGCATAACGTTAAAAAAAAGAAAACAGTTAAAAAAAACCGTAAAAGATTCCAGTGCATTATTAAAAGAAAGCCCAATAAAAGAAGCCTAAAAGCACGGTAAAATAAGACAAAACACAAAACTTGGCTTTGAGACTACCCCCAGGGTGCTTTGGTCTGTCCCGCAACCCATTTTTGGCGCTCGGCTTCTTGGAAGGGAAAGAATGGCTCAGTTCCTCTTCAAGCAGAGGTTTGGGTATTTGCTTATTTCTGGCGTGTTTTTAGGCTTTTTTTTATCAAGCTTTCTTTTATGTACTGGAATTCTTACGCCAACCCAACGACAGTAAAAAAATTCCAGTGCATAAAGGAAAACCCGGGAAAACAAAGGCGCCCAAATAAGCCCAAACCCAAACCTCTGCTTGGGCTGAACGAGGCAGTCTAAAACACCCTGGGGGTATAGGGGCCGTTTTATATATATAGGACATGGTGTATGTGTTTTTCTGTAGCCCCAACATTTAACCACCCCCAACTACCATCATGCGTGTTACAGAGAATATATATGTATGATGTTCTTGGGCACTGAGACCAAATGCCTACAATACCCTACGAGAAGGTTGTACTTTTCAAAATCATGTTTTGTAATGTTCTTACGGTAGCCTCTACCAGGCACCGCGGATCGCTGGAAAAATAGTAGAAATTGGCCGAAATAAAGGGATAGTATACCAGAGAAGATCCAGGGCCATAGAAGCTCCAAAACCCCGTGGGTCGCAAATTGGAGCTTCTCTGGTATACTATCCCTTTATTTCGGCCAATTTCTACTATTTTTCCAGCGATCCGCGGCGCCTGGTAGAGGCTATTCTTACGGTAGACATAGCCTTTATTTTGAAGTGAATTGTTTGATGAAATTACTGTATTTTTTGTGTGTCTTTCTCGTCCAAAGGAATAACGTGTGGGGAAGCATCTGATGTTTGATGATCAACAAACTGATTGTAAACAACAACACCAACAACAACACGATGGAGACGACAGGTGCCGACCCAAAGCCGACAGGTGCCGACAGTTTCCCGACGATGCCCGAAGCGCCTACGATAATTCCCGACCAGTTTGCGGCGGGGTTCGGATGGATTATAAAAAATAACACTGTGATGTTCCAACAGCCGAACAATGTGTGTGCGTTGGTCTATCCAACTGCAAGGAGCTTCAATAAGTCGGATATAACTTCCTTGGTCTACCGAATCACAAGGATCAAGGAGGTCCCTCAGACAGAACGACAGTTCATCAAAAACCATAATCTCCAAGCAGATCATACGGTGGCAAGGCAGTATCCAATGGCGAGAGGAGTGTCCATTAGCCACCCTTCCTTGGCCGTGCAAACTCCTCTGGTTAATGGATATTGTCTTGCCACCGAAAGGGATCTGCTTGGAGATGACAAAAACCAGGCAGCGGTTAGCGAGAACAACAATGTGTTGTCAGCACTACCAAATAGTACTGAGAGTGAGAGCCCCTCAATTCTCAATCAGCAACACTTGAAGAAAAGCCGTCCCTTGCATCTAAACGGTGATATGCGAAAGGACGAAGGCAAGAAAATGGACCGACCGTTCAACGGGGAGCTAAACCAGGCAGTTACCGAGAACAACAATGTGCTAGTAGGAGCGCTACAGGCAGACGAACCAGATGTAAAACATGCTAGTAGCTGTGTAGAACCGAGTGTACACTCTAGTGTAAGATCCTGGGCCAGCCTCGATAACCAGCACTCGAAGAATTGTCATCCATTGCATCTAAACGGTGATATGCAAAAATCTGAAGGCGGGAAACTGGACGCATGTCTTCAATGCGTGACACAAATGCAGCATGATCCGAAGCTTGAGCGACACCTAACGACACAAGAGAAAACTTCAAGTCAAATTTTCGGGCCTTCAAATTCGGCCGAGACCGACTCAGGTGAGGAAAAAGAAGGCGCGAAGAAACAACTACACCCAAACGTCACAGAAAACCACCAACACGTGAAGCCAGCGACGGCGTGTTTCAAGTGCGACAGGTGCGACTTCAAAGCCAGATCGCCGCGACGTCTGGACGCTCACCTGCGACGTCAGCACGCAGAGGGAAGCGTCAGGTGTACCCTCTGTCCGTTCACCGCTCTTAACCAGCGAGGGCTCAACATGCACGTGCGCAGGACGCACTCCAACAAGACACAAGAAGACCCGGACGACTTGGAGAGAGAAAAGAACGACGACATCTCCGAACATCTCGAGAAACACGGGAAGACAGGGCTCCTGCAGTGTCCACAGGTTAGTAGCGCACGTGCGTAGTCCAGTGGCTAACGATCCTGCCTCTGGACTAAGGGGTTTGTAGTTCGAATCCCGGCTGTTGTCGCTCACCCGACATGCACGCTACTGTTTAGGGTCGCAGTCCTTAGGACAGGACATTAAGCTGTGGTCTACTGTTCATTGTGCTTGTCGAAAAGAGCTAGGGGAATTTTTCCAGTACAATGAACCTGTAAATACTGTACATAGTATCAGTCTTCTCTGTCACGACCAGTGGAAGATTATATTATAGCTCTTCAATGAGCTAAAACTGGTTAGAGATCACTTTCACTTTCTTTCACTTTCTTTCACAGTGCGACTATCTCACCAAGTGGAGGAAGAACATGAGACAACACGTTCGCGACGTCCACACGACAAGCCACAACCTCCACAAGACAAGGCACAACCTCGGGTACAAGTGTCCCGACTGCGGGCACACCTTCCGTACGGTGTCTCTACTTCGTCTGCACGTCAGGCGAAAACACACGGGCGAGCGACCGTTCCAATGTCCTCACTGTAGCTACGCAGCGCTTGTGTCCAGCCATCTAGAGCGGCATATCCTTCGGCACACGGGGGTCCGTCCGTACATGTGTGAGGATTGTGGCTACATGGCAAGCACCAAAGACGTCCTGGCAAACCACCGAAGGACGCACTCGGGGGAGAAACCCTACAGGTGTGAATATGTTTTTTTTCCATAAACTTTATTGACAATACAACATGAATAAACAAAGTAACATAAGAGCACACAAATTACATATTAATACTATCCATATTTGATAGTTGAAGGAAAACGTTGTTTTTGCTCAGTTTCTTCTCCAAACAAGGTCAATGACCAGACGTCTGTCACCATGGTAACTGGTGTTGTGTTACATCATGTTGCAATTTTATAGCAGGAGGGATTTAGACTCCTGTCTGTCCATAGAAATTTGAGTCAGAATTAATAGAGCAAACCATATGCGAAGGTAAACATCATGCATTTGCTTTGCAAATGTTACATTTCTACTTTTTCTCTTTACTTTGACAGGTGTGAAGTTTGCGGGTACGCCGCTAGGCGGCGCCACCACCTCCAGGGCCACATGGCGAAGCACGCTCCGGTCAAACCCGACAGGACGTTCAAGTGCGAGTTTTGCGACTACGCAGCTGTAAGAAAGTTCCACCTTGTCCGCCACATGTCCAGGCACTTTGGAGAGAAGCCGTTTAAGTGTTACATGTGTGAGTATTCAACTGTGGATAACTCTCGACTGCAGGCGCACATTCGGGCACACACGGGAGAAAAACCGTTCCGATGTGAAATGTGCGAGTTCGCTACTGCCAGAAAGGACCATCTGAAGCAGCACGTGATCAGGTGCTGGCGTAAACAAACAAACAAACAGATAAATAAATAAATAAACAAAAACAAGACCATCTGAAGCAGCACGTTAGGAGTCAGCATGAATAAACAAACGAATAAACAAACAAACAAACAAACAAACAAACAAACAAACAGGACTATCTAAAGCAACACATGAGGTGTGGGCATGAATATGTAAAGAGACCGGACTTCAGGAACTTAATGAACTTTGCCAAGTGTTTTAGTTATCAATAACGCAATTGGTATTATTTGTATTATTGTCTTCCTCTGTCTTCAAAAAAGAAGTCAAACCCAGTAGTTTTTCTACTAGTAGTCTCTTAATAGTTATCAGTAGTTCTATGTGTACGTATTACTTGTTTTTATACAAATGTTTCTTCTGTTCATGCAATTAGCCTTCGGGCATGAATTTGCAATAAAACTTTCATTGTATTTTAAATACTTCTCACTCACCGAATTGCATGATCGGTGAAACTCTTGGAGGGTTTTCTTATTAATTAATTATGCTAACGTTGATGTGATGGTGGGAAGGTAATATCCAAGCAGATCTGTCGGTAGCAAAGTTAAAACCAGACGGCAAGACACCGCCGACGTGTACTGTCTGGGTTAGGAGTTTGGTACCAAAAGATCTGCTTGGGATTTGGGATTAGGTGCTACATGTAACGTTAGGTATGTTTTGTACAAAGTCATGGATTTCAATAATGCGAGGACGTGCATTTCTGTCATTAAGTTGCCAAGGGAATCGAGGATTGGGTGTTTCTTTGTAAATATATGCGGAACACCCGGTCTAATAAAAACCTACAAAAGTGAGTTTTTGTAGTTCTTATGCTGTGTGCCCACTCTTCACTCACTCACTCACTCACTCACTCACTCACTCACTCACTCACTCACTCACTCACTCACTCACTCACTCACTCACTCACTCACTCACACATTCTTTCATTCACTCACATTAATTCACTCACATTAATTCACTCATTCACTCACGTATTCACTACTCAATCACTCTCACTCACTCACACACTCACACACATATTCACTTACATTCATTCACTAGTTCATTCATTCATTCATTCACACATTCATTCATTCACACATTCACTCATCCATTCACTCATTCATTCACTCACTCATTCACCCATTCACTCACTAAAACATTCACCAACACACTCACTCAACAATCACTCAATCATTCACTGTGCGAATGTACAGTAAATATGCCTTCCGGGAGAATCCATAAATAGCGCCGCATCTGGTGCTGTAATGTTCCGGCGTCTTTATTAAGCAGTGTTCAACCGACTGTGGTCCCTTCCCGTTCCTCAATTACACGAACCATTGCCTGTCTCTGAATTTCCACAGCTCATCCCTATAACTCACTCAGTGTAACTCACTCAGTGTCATTCTCACAATCCTGTGCTAGTGTCACGGAAATGAAAGGAAACCTACAGTGGATGTCACTGGAAGACAGACGAAAAATGTCCAGACTATGCATGATGTACAAAATGACTAATAAACTGGTGGACGTACCAACGACTAAGTACCTAATACCAGCCCAGAAGAGAACAAGAAATAGCCATGCCTTCAAGTACCAGAGATTGAGGTGTCCAAAAATTCATTCTTTCCTAGAACTATCACAGAGTGGAACTCGCTGTCATCAAGTACAGTAGGGGCATTGTCATTAGATAGCTTTAAACAATGTTTAGAGGGTTCAAGGGTTAGGTGTAACAAGTCGTTCGGTGTAATGTAGTCAGTGTAGTACATTCTGTTTCTTCGCTTCTCGTGTTTTTCTCCTTCTTCTCCTCCAAATACAAAAGGTCAATCACTATGGTAACTGTGGTGTTCGGTTACATAGCTTGTGGTAGGACACGGTTGGAGGGGCTGGTCACCATATACTAGTATCTGACAGACTGAATGTGAGTAAGAATAAAGAAAGTAGTAATTTGTTATGCTATACCGTGTGAAGGCAAACACTGTATTTTGCTAAAGTCACTTACTGTCTAACATGTAGGATCGAGAATGCAGAGATGTTAGAATAAATGGCAGTTTCTCCAGTTATCGCGTGTGTAGAAGCACGCATGTGGGTGAGAGATTGGAGACCTGCGATCCTGGATAGATGTTCATCCCACCATCACGATGCGCTGGCACGAGAGGACACATCTCGGTAAAGCTGCGTAATTCACAGGAGATCCTTTCGAAGTAATTAGCGACCTTAAACGACGCACGCCTCACCCCGCAATGTAATCGTATCATTTATGTAGCGGATTTTCTAGCACTAAACCCCCAGATCTTTCATGATATGCATCTATAGAACGTTCCTTATGCGAACTGATCGAACAAAGTAAGCCCCGCCCCTGTTCTATTTCGAACACCAAAAGGCCCCGCCCACTGTTCTATTTCGAACACCACAAGCCCCGCCCCCTGTTCTATTTCGAACACCTCCATCAAAATCAGCGCGGGAAGGGCAGGGAAATAGAACAGGGGGTTCGACGTGTTCGATCAGGAACGGTCTATTGGTTCTCTCCAAGCAAAGTGTTTTAGGCTTTGCTTTCGGGCTTTTTTTGCACTCCAAACTCTGCTGCAGTATCGTAAAATAAGCTAAAACCCAAACCTCTGCTTGGAGAGTAGTCTATTGGCAACTACAAGTTGCAAATTGAATTCAGAGGATGTGCAGGTAAAAGCGGAAGACGTAAGATCGCGTGAGGCTGTGTGGAGAAAGAAACACGGGAGAGAGTGTCTGAAAGCGAGCCGTGATTACAGATGGATCAGGAACTAAAGCTGCTCACGCAGGTCTGTGATCAAACTGCTAATCCGGACACAGACACGTAATACTAATAGGCTGTTCTGTGCCTTTTTTGGTCATTACATGGCCGGGGAACGAAATAGCACACAGCCAGTACTTTGCAGGTGCGATTTGAAATGCTTGTTATCTCGAAACACAGACACCCAGACAGACAGATACACCAAAAACAGTACCTCCATTTTTCATGAAGATAAATATCATCACAATCTATCCAGATCTTTTTAAGTTATGCTCACCGGAAATATCCAAAACACAGACACACAGACTGACAGACACTCCCAAAACAATGCCACCATTTCTCATTGAAGTAATAAAAACTAGACGTCACCCAGCGTCTGGAAAAGATGTCTAGTCTTCCTTTATGAACAGATATAAAGTATGTCATGGCTTTGGTGCGACTTGGTTCCAGGCATGCCCTGTGGAACGACATGTATCAAGCAGACGGTTAAGGTTTGCAGATCCCTACCAGGATTGCTGGATGAGGAAATCTGTCTGATATTAAAGGCATCCATTCGATTTCAGAGCAGCAAAACTGGAAATATTCTGAATAAGGCACTCTTTATGATATTGACACATACTGCTTCACATTAGCACATTTCAATCATACTTTGGGTACTTAACTGCAGAAACAAGCTGCACCACGAGTCCTTTATTTTATGGGAGGTACCCTAAAAATCAGCCCAGGGCCCTTCCAGTAACCATTTTCCGTCAGAATTGTGGGAATTTTTGCTAGCGTAGTTTCAACTCAGTATGTAGATAAGTGACTAGAATATTTACGTTGAAAAATCGGGTTTTCAAGCCCTAAAAACTGCACTGGATGCCTTTAAGGTTTGTGAATCACTGCCGAGGATTTGTGTAGTGAAGACGTCAGCGGGTTTACTACATGTGAGTAGTGGAGGAAGATTTGTAGCGGGGATTACACCAGGCTTATGGTGGATCTGGTGGGTTTATGTTTATTATTCATTCCTTATGACGCATTGGCGGTGACCGAGACTGGAGAAATATTGATGTCTGCGGGCTGATACAGTTTTTTTACAGCCTAATGTTTTGATGATACGAGGTGAGATTTTGCGTGGTTGTCAATAGTTTACACTCACAAACATACATAAATACACGCATACCAACACACATACACACACACACACACACACACACGCACACACACACACACAGAGAGAGAGAGAGAGAGAAATGCACACGCTCATACACACACACACACACACACACACACACACACAGACACACATCCGCTAGAGAGTACGGCAAACTGTTCTCTCCAACAGACCGACCCCCCTGGCATGCTATCTCGAGCTCTCTATTGGAACAATTTCTACTCTTTCCAGCCGACTGTGACATCGGCTTCTGCCCTAGCATGTGTCCTTGTTAGCAGCAACACTAATGACACGATCCGTAACAACCGCGCTCCTCCCACCGCTACACGTCTGACATTTCCTACGGCACTTATGTTGCCTGGAAAGTTCACATCGACCATAAACATGCTGACTCCTGCTATACTTTACAGGCATCAATTTTTGTTGGCGTTACGTAGCAAGAAACTTCATTTGTAGCTATATAAACCGGTAACTGTTGATAAGGACAGCTTTGGTGGAAAGCCTGTAGAATGCCGCAACCTTTGTCTGACATTTCCGAAGTCGTTTCTGTAACGACTTTGTTCTGAATAAAAGATACCCGGTCCCCCCTGAGGGCGGGTTTTCTGCCTGCATCGCTGACCGCCTAGGTTTTTTTCCCGCCAGATTTGCGCGGTGCCCATTATAGCGCTGGAAATTGGATTCGGTAAGAGCCCCCCCCCCTCCACAGTCGTTGATTGTCCGTTACGTTCAAAGACCTGAGCGGATGCCTTATGCGGACATGATCTGCAATATACATGTATGGAACATTCGTTTTATAGAATGTTCGAGCATTCGAACATCCGTTCCATAGGGTATGCGAACATTCTAACATTCGTTCCATAGATTGTTCGAACATGCGTTCCATAGAATGTTCGAACGCATTCCACTTGCGCCGCTTCCGAAAATTCGAACGCCTGATTCGAACGTTGATGTTGTTGCATTGTTTTACGGACGCCAAATTTCTCAATTTCTGATACGTTTTGCATTGTACGCCAAAAAGCAGTTGCTCAAGCAACTGGATATGATTTTGGGAACCGTCAGACGTTTCAGGTAGCATCCGCTAAAGATTAGACATCCAGGTAATACGATACGCCAAAAAACAGTTACTCAAGCAACTGGATATGATTTTGGGAACGGTCAGACGTTTCAGCTAGTATCCATTTTGCATTGTAATTAGTCGGAAGCACTGTATAACAGTACTCTAGTAGGATGCGCTATCGTCTAACTGCATTAAAATGAAATATGCAGTCACGAAGCGTTTTGCAAGCTTGCATCCAAACCCCCACGGCCCAGGCTACCCTGTGCTGTGTCGACTTAATTTC